ACTTTGGGGAGGGGGCGGAGTTGGGCGGGGCTGGGGGCGGGGCCGGGGCCCCGTGGAGTGTCCTCCATTTGGAGGCACAAAATATGGTAACCCTAGGCAAATGGAAGGCTGGAGGTGGGGGTGAACATCCGCAGTGCAGCTGTTGTGTGCCCGGCTGTCGGCGACGGACGGGCTGCAGCAGTCGCTGTCAGCTCCAGCTCAGCTTCGGGGTGAATCTGTGGTACTGCGCCTTGCTCACTTGCACCCGCGGCCGGCTGTATGTGAGATGGGAGGCAGAGCTGCTGTATCAGGAGTCTTCCCTCTGCCTCTTGTGTCTCCATGGCAGGCACTGTGGTTACAGCAAGGCTTTCCAGGACTCAGATGAGGAGAAGATGCACTATCAGAATGGCCAGGGTAGGTGCATGGCTGGCTCTACTCTTGTCTGCAGTGCACCGAGCATGTGGAGCCTCAGGCTTCAGCGGAAGTCATGGGGCCGGCAGCTGCGGCGGTGCTGGGTGCATTCACTCTCAACGCCAGAAGAGCGGGTTCCTGGGAGCAGGCATCCAGCAGCCCCTGGCTGTTGTGAATGTAGAGAAGCCAGCTGTGTTGGGGCCAGGCTGCCGCTAGTGGGGCTGACAGCACTGGGTGCAGAGACAAGGGTCTGAGTTTCAAGGGGAGGGGTGTAGTGTGTCAGTGACTCATCGGTTCATGGCACACGGGGGCCGAGCGGGTGTAACTCACATACTCACAGGCTGGGAGAGAGGGGCAATGGGAAATGCAACTAACAGGGGCCTACACAAGGCGGAAAATCCAAGTCCCCATGGAGATGTGTCTGGGGTGAGCTGTTCTCTGCCTCCCCACAGGGGCTGAGTTCTGGGCCAGCTACTCCTGGTCTCAGGTGATTTTCCTTGTCCCCCTGGGTGTCTGGGCCCTTGGGCTGGCTGGAGAGGTCTGTGTTCTGAAGGGGGAATTTAGCTTTCCTGGAGTTGGGTACCAGAGAGCAGGCCCCCACTGGGGCATCTCTCCTCTGTATGTGGCCCTAAGGAGTCTGCAACACTGCTTTTGGGGCTTGGATTCCCGCCGCCTCTCTGGCTCCCAGACGGCATTGCTGGTTGCTGTTGGAATGATCTCGCTTTTTCTTTCCCCGCTGAACTCGAACAGTGAAGTTCCCCACGTCAAAGTTCTACGTGGACCCTCACACGTACGAGGACCCCTGCCAAGCCGTGCACGAGTTCACACGAGAGATCGAGGCCTCCAGGATTAAAATTGAGAAAGTCATTGGGTCCGGTGAGTGCCCTGGCTCTGTGCATTTCACACCCTTCGAACTTCCTTCGGAAACCCGTTTCTTCCCCCGGGGCTCTGGTGCCAATGTTTGTGCAGTACTCTGGAGACGCGACGGGCTAAATAAATACAGGTCGTGCTGAGTGTTGGGATGCTCCTCAGTGTGGGTTTGAGCCATTCCGTAGCTTTCTGAGCACAAAAAGCATGTGCAGAATTCTTTAATGTATGAAGTGAACCGTCCGGCGCCAGATGCTCAGCTGGTGTTAATCCGTGTAGCTCAGCTGCAGCCAATGGAACGACACTGACTTGCGCCAGCTGAAGGTCTGGCTGTCCATGCATGGTGTCTCCTCCGCTGCTACCTTGAATTTCACCCCCAAAGTTCATGTCTGGGCTGAGAAGACACTTGAGCCATTTCAGCAAAAATGTTGATTTTTTTTCCTGAAAAGTGATATCAGCTGAGAATAGGGGCTTGGACGGCAAGCGCACGAGAGAGGGCGAGCGAGTGAGCCGTCAGCTGCTGGTGACACCAATGGTATCCAATGGTGCACAAAGTCTGAGTACCTTTCTGCTTGGCAATTGCACAGAACCAGCCAGGATGCGAGGGCTCAGAGCTGCCTGGGAGGTGCTGGGAATTCTCACTAAACCAGCCCTGCTCTTGCTTTTCACCTGGCTTTGTACCCACATGGTTGGGCGGGAAGTTGGGAATCCCATAATAGGACGTGCTTAGCACTCCTCATCATTGCTATGCGAGAGTCTTTCTGCCGCTGAGGCACGGAGCTAGGCAATGATTCCTTACGCTGAGTCAATGGTAGGAAATAGAACCCAGGAGTCCTGACTCCCTAAGCACGGAACCATGCTGCAGCCTTCTTATTGGCTCTAGAAAACAGGCCCCTCGCTGTTGGCTCTGGACATGTGTTTAGCCTAGTGGCAGAAGGAGTGTGGATTTGGTGGGGTGCCAGGAGGCTGCAGTGAATTGAGAAGCTAAGCCCTTTCCCTGGTCTTTTCTTGCTTTGCAGGAGAATCTGGGGAGGTGTGTTATGGCCACCTGAAAGTGCCAGGGAAGAGGGAGCTTCCCGTGGCCATCAAGGCTTTGAAAGCAGGTTACACGGAGAAGCAGAGACGGGACTTCCTGAGCGAGGCCAGCATCATGGCGCAGTTCGACCACCCCAACGTTATCCACCTGGAGGGTGTGGTCACCAGGAGTACGTGGCTGAGTGCAACAGCTTAGAGAGGGCAGTCACATAGTCAGCGCAGGACCACGGGGACAAAGGAGAAGCTGATCTCACAGCCAGAGCCCTCAGGAAGTGCTTTCCTCTCCCCAGCCTGGCAGAGACCCCCCTACAACCGAGAGGCCAGCCAGCTGCTGCACAACGTATATCTCACGAATGGGGGCCTTCCACTTTGCTAGCCCCTTTCATCCCCAGGGATCCCCAATATAACAAACCCAAATGCAGCCTGTCACGGACTCACAGATTGTGCCCACTCTTGGCCCCGTGCGGTCCGTGGGGGGGTGCCCCTTTTGGTGAGACAGCCCTTCTCGGGGGTCCACTCTCTCTTGGGGTCAGGCCCCTCCACCTCCTGGATCCGCACCTCTCTGAGCCTTAGCACGTCTGTCTCTGCCATGGGCCCCCTGAGGGAGTCCACTCGCTCTGGACCCCCGGGGCCTCCACCTCCGAAGGGGTTGATGCAACCCTGTTCTCTAGACCGGAGTGACTCTCAGCCAGCATGAAACAGGAGGGTTTATTGAGAGTTGAACACAGCACAGGAAACTCTCTGACCCTCAGGCCTGGCCTCCCTCAGCACAGCACATCCCAGTCTCCCTGCATCCAGGTGGGCTCTGCCTGCTCCCCCTCTCCAGCCCAGAGCCCCCTCTGCTCGCAGCTGGGCATCTGAGATCACCAGCCCCAGGCCCCGCCTCTGTCCATTGTCTTCTCTCCAGGTAAACAGGGTCGTAAACCGGGGCCTCCTCTCCCCTCTTCTGTCCTCTGGCTGGAACCGGCTGGTTAGGTCACTGGGTCCTCACTCTGCAGCCCATTGTCCGCCCACTGGCCAGAACCGGCTGCGTCTCCTCAGCTGGGCCTCCGGGTCGCCAGGTCACCGGTCGCTGGGGTATCCATCCTCCTGGCCATCGGCTGGGTCCCCACGTCCTCTCTCCGGTCCTCTGCAAAACACACTCCCTCTCCCCTCACCTCGTTAAACCAGTAACACCCAGGGAAACTGAGTGCCACCCCCTCTGCATGCAAACCATTGAAACTCCACAGAAAACAAGAAAACCCCCCACTTCGTTACACAGCCGCCTTTGGGGTGGAATGTGGCAGCTGTGTCACTGACTATTGCAATGCCACCGAAGAGTGTCGGACAAGAATGGAGGCTTCTGTATCCAGTGGGAACTACAGAGGGAATTTAGGGAGATGGGGCACAGATGGTCACTAGGAATGTGTCCAGAACATGGGGGTAAACATCTCATGGGTGGGAGCTCCCAACAGGAACGTCAGAGAGACAGCTGCTAGGCAGGTCTACCCGAGGGACGTTCCTAGAGGGCCCCTGAAGGGCTGGGTGTGCACTGGCAGGGGGCAGTGCATGGGCGAAGCTTGCCCTGACACTGCCCTCACTCTACCTGCTCTGAGGGCTTCATTTTCGGGGCTGCGCATACAGCCCCGGATTCCTGGGCGCTGGTAATAAAGTGCCTTTGGATTGCTACTGGCCAAGAGGCTCAGAATGACGTCCTACCATGAGCCGGGGGTCTCTGCTGCTAGCTTCAGGCTCTGGAGTCTAGGGGCCGGCTCCTCGGCCCAGCAGCGTTCTCGCCTTTCGACATTCCCGATTAGCATCTTGAGAGGGAGACAGCTTGTCACTCGCAGGACTGCTGCTTTTCGCCTTTCCCTTCTAGTGCCATTAGAGCAATGAAGGGTTTATCCCTGGCTGCAGCTCGAAGGAGAATGGTGCTACTTGGGGCTTTTCCAACGTTCATTGGAGGGAGGTGAAAGGGGACGCCTGACAGGTCCTTTGTAACATCACATGTGGTGGCTCCCCTCACCCCACTCCGCTCTGCACCCCAACGCCAGAGATCGGGGTTATTGGATTCGGAGAAGCACTACCCATTAGCGTTCATTTTAAAGGCCGTATCGTATTGAATTGTAATGTGAAGTCATAGTTTTAAAAGGCACATTGAAATGCAATGCATTATGGTAATGGGATGCAAATTTCATTTAGACAATGACACTGACTTCGCAACAACAATGGTGCCTGTAGAGAGACTCTGAGTTTGATGTGTGAGTGCGAGGTGGATCCGTGAGTGTGAGTAGGCTGTGTTAGTGTGAGTAGGATGCATGAGTAGGACGCGTGAGTGTGAGTAGGACATGTGAGTTTGAGTAGGCTGCGTGAGTAGGATGCGTGAGTGTGAGTAGGCTGTGTTAGTGTGAGTAGGATGCGTGAGTAAGGTGTGTAAGTGTGAGTAGGATGCATGAGTGTGAGTAGGCTGTGTTAGTGTGAGTAGGCCGCGTGAGTGCTATATTCACACACTGGCATGGTTCACACGCAGCACCAGAATGGGACCTCAGCAGCTCTTTGCAGGGCTGTGGGACACCTTGATTGTCCCGGATTTGCTTCCCTCCCTGCACCAGGCAGGTACCGGGGCTCCCAGAGGAAGGTGACTTCTCTATTAACTTGACCTCTCTTGTCTCCTACAGGCAAATTGGTAATGATTGTAACCGAATACATGGAGAACGGCTCACTAGATTCCTTTCTCCGGGTAATCAGCTCCTCTGTATTTTTATTCATTGCACATTCTTCAGGGCTGAGTGGCTGATGAGGGAGAAGAACAGGCTGAGCCACGCTCTGCAGCCTCATGACCACTATGAACGCTGAGTAAAAGCTGCAGGCGCTGAGGGAACACGAGCTCCAAGGCATCTGCACTCTCTCTCAGGCGGAGCAGCCTGGTGTGAGAGGCAGGACTCCTGTTGCTGGCGCACAGGAGCATCTCCCAGGCCCGTGGAGTGGGAAGAGTGGGAGGTTGGAAGTGACAGGAGTACAAACTGTCCTTCATTTCCTCTGGCCCAGCTAGGCTTGCTCAGAGAGGTGTCTGGGTTTGGAGCCCGAGTGTGGGGGCATTACAGATTGCAACAGGTGAGTGGAGCTGAATGAGGACAGGGTTCTGGGCCTACAGGTCACAGAGGTCCAAGTCACCATGCAGGATCAGTGTTTGTCAGGTGCCCAGCGAGAGGCCAGGAATAACGTCAGGGTTGTTTTCTCTCCAGAAACACGACGGTCAGTTCACCATCATCCAGCTGGTAGGCATGCTGAGGGGCATTGGTGCCGGCATGAGATACCTCTCCGATCTGGGCTACGTGCACCGGGACCTGGCTGCCCGTAACGTTCTTGTTAACAGCAACTTGGTCTGCAAGGTGTCCGACTTCGGCCTGTCGAGAATCCTCGAGGATGATCCGGACGCTGCCTACACCACCACGGTACATTCTGCGCTTTCTCTGTGCTGAGTCCCAAACAACAGCAGGCGTGCTATGCAACCTTCAGGGAGAGAAATCACAGGCTGCAGCCAAGCTGGGAAGCTCAGCGTTATCTCCACCCTCTTGTGCTGATGCCATGAAATATGGAGCCCTTTAGACCATTATACATTATCTGACACGTCATATAATACAAACTCGCTTCTTACACAGCCGTACATGGAGGGAGTTACAGCACAGTGTGAGCTGGCACCTTTCCCAGCCGACTCTCAATTACAGTCCACACACTGTGCAGAGTCCCCGAATCACCCTCTTCTGGGGCGGGCAGGTGTCAGATTAATCCTCCTCCCAATCTGGTTCCGGCCTCAGGGCTGCTCAGTTCATACCCTAGCGCCTCTCTCCTCCCATCTCCCGTGTAACTGGGGGAGGTAGCAGCTCATCTGTCTCAGGGAGTTTCACACAAATGCTGCCACACTGTTACATACATACAGTCTCAGGCTTGGCCTGATGTTTTAATCTCAGTGAGATCAACAGAACAAGCTGAGTTTGAAGTAGATTGGTTCAGTAGTTTAAAAATTGTTTAAAGTTATTGAGTCCCATTGCTGGCTGGAGCAAAGGATTTCTTATTTTAGGAAGAGCTAGCAGTGACCCCCTAGATTTAGGTAACCTAACATTTCTGGTATAGAAGATTCTTGTGACCTTTTTTTGAGGAGCTCTCATCCCTCCATTATATGCTGCAGGCCTTTGACATTCCACTGGGGCAAAGCACCGGAGCTAGAGACGTGCTTTTTGCTTGTCCCATGAAATTCTGTTGAGGTTTGGCTGAGACAGAAACATAAAAATCACCATTTCCGTTCTCGGCCTGCATGGCTTAGCTTGCCAGAATAGTAACTCCCCATCAAACATTCTAAGGACAAGCCCCAGCTTCCACCAGGGACCTGCCAGAGCCCCCGGAGTGCTGGGAATGAGGACGAGAGCTGGACAAGGCCACACTCCTTCCCAGACCTGGCATATGGGGTAGGAGCCCATCCCCCACTCCAGGGGCACCACATGGGGCAGGAGCCCATCGCTTCTTGGCATGGGACGGGGGAGAGAGCCCACCCCATTCCCCTCTGAGCTGGCAGCCTTCTCCTCATATTGCGGGTAATGTGGTTTAAGTATGTGCTACAATAATGAAAGTTCAGGGTTCAAATCCTGCTGGTGATGCATGATGTGACGGCGGAGTTGACACAATTATACATCACAAAATTTGTTTTTTCTTTTAAAGAAAATCTTGAAATTGCAAACAAAAGCTATGTTACATGAACATACATTAGATTAGCGAGACAAGGTGGGTGAGGTAATATCTTTTATTGGACCAACACAAGTCAATTACCTTGTCTCGCTAATATCCTGGGGCCAACAGGGCTACAACAACACTGCAGACATAATTTACGTCAGTGGTTCTCAACCAGGAGCACACGTACCCTTGGGCGTTCGCAGAGATCTTCCAGGGGGTACGTCAGCTCATCTAGAGATTTGCCTAGTTTTACAACAGGCCCCATAAAAAGCACTAGCAAAGTCAGGACAAACTAAAGTTTCATACGGTTTGTTTGTACTGCTCTATATGCTAGACACTGAAGTGTAAGTACAAGATTTATATTCTACTTGATTTCTTTTATAATTATCTGGTAAAAATGAGAACGTAGTGATTTTTCCGTGATAGTGCGCTGTGCCACTTCGGTATTTTTATGTCTGATTTTGTAGGCAAGTTGTTTTTAAGCGAGGTGAAACTTGGGGGTACGCAAGACAAATCAGAGGGGTACAGTAGTCTGGAAAGGTTAAGAGCCACTGTTTAGGTTACAAAATCAAGCACGCAAAAATTAGGAAATGCCAAATTTTCAGTTGCCTGCACATCAGTTTGATCCCCGTTTCCATACGTAACCCACTGGTCAGCGCCACTCTGAGTAATGTGTCCCCCTCTGAGCCCACTTCCCGTGGGTATGGGTCTTCTGTACCAACGCTAGCTCATGCTTTCAGCTCTGGAGGGTTTCCTGCTCCAGTCCCTGAAGGGTTGGCCAAGGTGATGGTTTGCATTCGGATAGTCTGTAGGAACATGGTCACATACTATATTTTCCATGGGACCCTGCCTCATTCGGTGCACAGGATGGACACACAAAGGTGTAGAATTAAGGCCACGTGTGTAACCATAATGCTGACATTTCTTAACTTTTGGGTGCTCGACTTTGCAATCTAACCAGCGTTCTATTAACATAGATTGCATGTGTGCGTGTCTGGTCTTTCATGTCTTGCCTTAATCCACCCAACAGGGAAGTAAGAGGGAGAGCGAAAAGCCAAGGATCTCTGTGGTTGGCTGCTCCTTCCCCCGGGATAAACATGCATCCTCCAGTGTCTAATAATTTCTGGGCTTGTTCTCCCTGCTGGGCTTGCAGGCAGGACACCCTGCAGCGCCACACCAGCCACCTTCAGGGCAGAGGCTGCGTTCCTCAGTGAGGTGTAGGGAGAATGGGCCCAGAGTCTAGGCTTTCAGGAGTCTAAACATGAGCCCTCTCTCTGCCTTATTGTCTTCTTATATCCAGCTCTCTGGGACCCCTGGGGGTGGAGGCCTCCACCAGCCGGGCTAAATTCTCGGTGCTTTCAGGTTCAGTCCTGCATGCAAGCAAAACTCTCCGTACTCGGCCCTGATGACACAACAAGATTATCCTGGCAGGGCTGGGATGTGTCACATGACACGAGCCCTGAGCTGGTCATTGGCCCTTGTCAATCCTGCTCCAGTTTCCAGATCTCCCACCTGACCCGTGCCCTTGCTTTGAATATATCGGGGGCACTCTAGGGTAGACTAGGACAAGCTTTACCCAACACGGGCATTTGCCATTGAGTGAGTCACTAGTTGAGGGTTTCCAGATGTCCTGAACAGACACACTCCACTCACCTTTGCTTCAGCAGGTGCTAGTGATGGGTGCACGTCCGGTCTCGAGCCCGATGCGGGGGCAAGAAATGGTATTTAAAATTCAGCCCCTTTACCAAGGTTGAAGTCAGGTCATATTTGAAATGAACACATTTGCTCAGCATCAGCACCTGCCCAGAGTGTGGCGTTAGGAGCCAATCCCGTGTTCTCATGCTGCCATTACTAACTGCTCCAGAGTTACCCGGGACAGGATGGCAGGGCTGCATCTGCACTGGCAAAGCCAGGATATGTCGCTCAGCCTGGGAGTGCGCCCACGTAGCCAGGCCAGGGCTCAGCGTGTCTTTTGTCTAACCCTGTTCTGAGCTGGGGCAGCTGACACGGTGGTGGAAATGCCTGAACCCGCCTACACTAGAGCGCCTGCTGTTGCTACCAGTGGTGAATTATGAGTCCCGCTTTGCCAGTGCAGACAAGGCCCAGGAGAGGATAGAGCTGTTAACAATTCACGGGAGGGAGGAGGAACCGCATGCCCTTCCCAGTTAGATGAGCTCCCCGGTCCAGCGAAAGGAAGGGCGACCATTTCCGTTCAGGCCCTGCAGTGCTGCTGGTGCCAGTCACCGAACCAGAAAGCTGGGGGGTGTTCTTAGGGGGTGGGTGGGGAGCTGCCTGTTCTAGGCTCAGTCTGTATAGCGCCACCAGCAGCACTACACTGGGAAAGGCCCCACCCGGGGTCCATTGGTTCTTAGGGCTGACGTTGTGTGGTACCCAGTGGCTGGGGGTTGGACCCTCAGCACCGACAGAATGGAGAGCCCTGCCTCAGGGAACTAAGCTAAGCAAGGTCAGGCCTGGGAGCTTTTGGCTGGGAGACCCAGGAGACTCCATGGTGTAGTCAGAGTCGGCGGGTCTCTGTAACAGACTGGGCGTGCTGGCAGTCACGGAGATGCCAATGGCAGGCTCCAGGCTGATGCAAGTGGACATCCCCCATGCCTGCCTGACCCCAGCTCCTGCCCTGGCTCTCGGCGATACCTGCTGAATGGCCTTGCTGCCCAGGTGCCAGCTCTTTGCCCTGGGTGGAGCCTGTCACGGACGGTTACTCTGTGTTCTGTGTTTCAGGGGGGGAAGATCCCCATCCGCTGGACGGCCCCCGAGGCCATCGCGTACCGCACGTTCTCCTCAGCCAGCGACGTATGGAGCTACGGCGTCGTCATGTGGGAGGTGTTGGCCTACGGGGAGCGGCCCTACTGGAACATGACCAACAGGGATGTAAGTGAGCGTCGTCCTGCCTGCGGCTGGGCTGGTATCAGGCCGGTTCCCTCCCTCCCTCTGCTAGGGGCGGCACCTCCTGTTAACTGAGCGGTTGTGGGGGCTCATGGCGAGATGGAGGCCACTGGGGGGGGGTCCAAAGCCAGAGTGTAGTTCTCGGGGCAAAAGGCGATGCTGCCTCTCCTTGCAACCCCCCGGGAATGGAGCTCGAGACTTTACGCTGTCTGGGAGGGGCAACGCTGGGGCCTGAATGCCGAGCTCAGCCGAGCCGTGAGGGGGGATTGTCAAATTCTCTGTGTGAAAATATCAATGTGTTTTCAGTCCTTCCTTCCACATAGTGTGTGTCCCCGCCCCACTCTGTATTACTGGGGGTCCCTGCCCTGCAGCGTGTTATTGGGGGTCCCCGCCCCATGGTGTGTTATTGGGGAGTCCCTGCCCCGCTGTGTGTTACTGGGGGTCCCCGCCCCATGGTGTGTTATTGGGGGTCCCTGCCCCACTGCGTGTTATTGGGGGTCCCCGCCCCATGGTGTGTTATTGGGGGTCCCGCCCCGCTGTGTGTTGTTCATGTGCTTTAGGTGGGGTTATGTTAGGGGGTTGCCGAGATGAATAAGACAAAGGAAGGGAGGGGGCTGGCGCGTGGGAGGGGGTTGGCCCAAAGAGCCAGTCAGCCCCAGGGCAGGTGTTCAGCGGGAGACCTCCGGAGAACAGGTGCCTGTTACCACCAGTGGCCATTGGTCGCTGCTTTGCCAGCTTCAGTGTGTGGCTGGCTCCACAGAGCTCTGGAGCGAAGAACCAGGCCATCTCAGAGTGCGCTCCGGGAGGGCTGTGGGCTCACCCCGAGCAAACCTATCTTTCAGGTCATTAACTCAGTGGAGGAGGGCTACCGCCTGCCTGCCCCCATGGGCTGCCCTACAGCCCTGCACCAGCTCATGCTGGACTGCTGGCAGAAGGATCGCAGCGAGCGGCCACGCTTCTCCCAGATCGTCAGCATCCTGGACAAGCTCATCCGCAACCCTGAGAATCTCAAGTGCACAGCCACGGTGAACCGGTAAGGCCGGCCACAGCCACGGTGAACTGGCAAGGCCAGCCACAGCCACGGTGAACCACTAAGGCCAGCCACAACCACGATAGCCTGATAAGGCCGGCCACAGCCAGAATGAGACAGTTAGAGCTCCGCAGGCGATCTCAGCACCTTCTGCTCATAGCCATGGTGAGCCAGAGAGACTCTTCACCCACCAGCACGAGCCAGTGCATCATAGCCACGGTGAATTGGTGAGAGACTCTCTTGCCGCAATTGGCTAATATTGGTCACTTTATGGCCTGTTCTCTGGCTAGAGCCTCATGCCAAGCCAGAGCGGACAGCGAGCGCGTTCACCGCCACAGTGAGACAGTCCGAGACCGAGCCAAGCCCAAGCTCTGAGCTGGCACCGGCCACGTCAGGCACTCACATGCCACAATGACGGGCAACACAACGGATGGGTCAGAGCCACAGAGAGCTACTTAAAGCCGCCGTCCAAGCTAGAGCTTATGGCTAACACAGTTCAGGCCATAACCATAATGAGCCGCACTAGCCTCCCAGCCTGGGTGGGCTTATGGCTTCAGGGCGGACATGGCCGGGGGCCTGGCTAGCCCCAGCCGGGAACAGAAAACACGCTCAGCCGTGAGTGG